CTTCATGACGTCGGACTCAGTTACCACCGATCTTTTTCGTGAATTCCAGGCTCAAGTCGATGGCCAAATCCAGACTCATTCGACGGCCATGCAACAACTCCATCAGTCCATGCAACAAATTCAACGTGATCTAGCGTCATTATTGGGTGATCGTCGGCATTCCGATGGGCACCACGATCGACGTGGCGGGGGCAACGGCGACCAGGGGAATTTTAATCCCATGACGAAAATGAAGCTGGACATGCCTAAAAGCGATGGTTCCGATCCCTTGGGTTGGTTGTTCAAGGCCCACGAATATTTTGTTTTTTACGGGGTTCCGGAGGAGTCCCGTCTTGCGGCGGTTTGTTTGATGCTTGAAGGCCCAGCACTTGATTGGCTCCGTTGGCGTCAAAGGAACGGCTTGCTTCATTCGTGGACAGATTTTGTGACGTCTTTCAAACTCCGTTTTGATCCACTGAACTACGTTGATTATTTTGGCTTGCTTTCTAAGGTTCGGCAAATGGGGTCGGTTCTCGATTACCAACAGGCCTTTGAAAAGGTTCTCGTTAATGTCACCGACGTGGATGAATCAAATCTTCAATCTCTTTTTTATGCTGGTCTCAAGTCACATCTCCAACATGATCTCATGTTACACAAGCCGTCTTCTCTCTCCGAATCGTTTGCGCTCGCCCGCGAGCTCGAGGCAAAGCATGCGGCATGGGCTACGTCACTTGGTAGCCGGCCTTCCATACAACGGCAGTGGCCCGTCCTAAAGCCGCCGGCCGCTACAACTGGGCAACCACTTCTGCCAACTCCGGAGCCTAAAGGTAATGAAATCAAAACCACTCCACCAATCAGGCGTTTAACATATGCGAAAAAAAAAAGAGCGGGACGCTAAGGGTTTATGTTATAATTGTGATGAGAAATGGTCGAAGGGGCATCGCTGTGGGCGATTTTTATTGCTCCTAGAAGACGAAGATGAGGATGCTGCGCCAGACCTCGTTGATGAGACCCTATTGATGGCCGACGTCTCCACGCTTAATAGTATGGCAGGGGTTGCAGCCCCTCGTTCGCTCCGTCTATCTGGCATGATTGTGGGGGGCGTGGTGGATGTCCTTATTGATGGTGGGAGCACACACAATTTTATCCATCCTTCGTTGGTGGAGCGGTTGCAACTCCCTATCACCTCAGTTCCGGCTTTCCGGGTCTATGTGGGTAACGGTGCATCGCTTCTTTGTAATCAACAATGCGTGGATATAGCCTTGTTGCTACAAGGGGTGACGTTCAATGTGGATGTTTTTGTTCTTCCCATTCACGGGCCAGACGTGGTTCTTGGTGTCCAGTGGCTACAATTGTTGGGGAAGGTCACACACGATTATGCCAATCTCACGATGGATTTTGTATGGAAGGGGTCACCTGTCACGTTGAAGGGCGGAACACCATCTTTGCGGCCAATAACTCTCCACCATTGTCAGATGTTGTATGTTGCTCAGGACCTCTCGGCATGTTTTGAACTGTTTCTTGGTGCGACAGCCGACCCCGACACCACTCCAGACCCGTGGCCAGAGGGACTGCCGCTGGAAATCATGCATGTTTTACAGAGGTTTCAGACTGTTTTTGCTATCCCTACGGGTCTGCCACCCCGGCGACTAAGTGACCATCGTATCTTCCTTCAACAAGGGTCCAAACCAGTGAATGGTTCGTGAGATGCTCGACCAAGGTTTAATTCAGCCCAGCAGGAGTCCTTTCTCCTCTCCGGTTCTCTTGGTGAAAAAGAAGGATGGTACTTACAGATTCTGCGTCGATTACAGAGCCTTGAATGCGGTTACGGTTCCCGATCATTTTCCTATTCCAACCGCAGACGAACTCTTTGATGAACTTGGTTCGGCTAGATTTTTTACGAAGTTGGATTTGCGATCTGGATATCAT